AAGACGGTGTCTTGGCCGGGAGTGATTCGGACTGTCAGCTACTGCGGATAGAAAGGCCTTGCCTGGAGTCCGCGGCTAGGACCTCGAACCGGTTTCCTTTAAGAGTGCCTTCAGGTTGCGAGGATCGGGGTGGACTGGTTTTGGTGGGTCGAGTATCTCTCGACCTGCTTACTTGCTAGGAGACGGGAGGAACAACTTGTCTTTCCCTCCTGCCGCAAGACGAGACCTGGGAGGTCTCTCCCCGGCAAGGATGGCTGTTCTGGCGATGAGGCTTGCTTGGTGTGATCGGGCATTGAGGCGAGGTCGGCTGTTGGTTCTGCTATAGCGGTGGGAACTGCTGCTGATACATGTGGTGCATAACCTGCTGTTGGTAATGCTGGAACTGCTGGACTTGCTGCATTTGGGCTTGAATAGCCCGCACACAGTGTACTAGGTCACTTAGTTGGTTCGGTCCGGCTCCAGGGGGAACCACAGAGGGTTCAATGGAAGTCGCACCCACTACAGGGGGAAGTGGGGCGTTCACAGGCACAGTTGGTTGAGGCACAGTCAGTGCTGGAATCCGACCCGCGGGGAGCGGTATGGTGAACTAACCTATGCAAACGGACGGGAACTGAGGTTGCCCCCCGGAGACGTTTGCTTCATTGTGTTGTCCGGCGTTGCTGGAGGAAGCCATGGGTTTGATCTTGAGCTTGAGGTTTTTGAAATGGAGATAAAAGGCTTTTAGTAACGAGTTCCCACAAACGACGCCAAATGATGTGGCGTAATCCGGCTGCTCCCTGCTGGAGACGATCTGGCTGGCAGTAACAGCGGGGACTGGTAACCTGCGAGAGAGGAGTCAGAGATCCTGAGGTGGCTTACTCGGCGGGGACACTCCGATGACTAAGTTAGCACTCAGTAGTAGTAGTAGAGAGCTTGAGATGATATCTGTGAGTTAGAGAGCAAAGATTACGCATACACACATACCTTCGCCCCCAGGGGTGAAGTCTTTATATACTGGAGTCCTCGTGGGTTGGTGGAACAGTTCCTGGATCCTCGCTGTGATGGGATCCGTTTGCGTGTTAGGTGGGTAAAATGCCACCAATCGGTAAGATTGCCTGGTCCCATCTGAACCGGGGAGTGGGTGAGCTAATATAGCCGTTACGAGTCATAATCCCGTAAAATGCGGAATACAGTGGTGAACTCCTCGGGGTGGTAACACGGAAGTCGGCTTGACCAGGTAGCGAGCTACCTGTAAGGTTTCGGATTGCCTAGTGACGAGCTTCATGAGCTTGTGCTCTTTAGATCCGACCTGATATGAATGCTGAAGTGCCTTGGGACCGAGGTGGTCCTAGTGTGACCTTGCACCGAGGTATACTCGTCCCGAGGTAGTCTTGACCGAGGTGGTCTATCTGTCCGGGTTCGATCTGTAGTGAACTTGGTACCATTATCTTGGTCGCGATCTGGTACTGAGACGATCTTAGTTCGGGGTATTAGGGTACCCGAGGTCGCTTTGTAGCGAACTGATCATGCTGAGCTGTCACTTGTGTCAAGTCACATCTACGTGCCGATCTAATCATGTTGAGTTATCACTTATGCTGAATCTCGTCCACGTGTCTCCCGAGGTCGGGCCAAATTTCCCTTCATCAATAAAGTTAATACAAAGCTAGAAAACAGTTTAACAGGTAGTTCATAAGTTAACAGAGATCGTTTATGGTTGAGAAAGGAGTAGCGTTTTTTACATTGGCAAGAACTTTGCTCGATGAAGGCAAGAGCAAGAAGAAATCCCTCAATGGTGTTCGAAGAGTTGATTCACCAGAACCAATGTCGATGAATATGAGCCCTCAACGGCCGCAAGAGATGTGGAAGAGGAAGCTGTGTCTTTCATTATCATAGACGTCCGAAGCACCAGATCAAATTTTACCCGAAGTGTGAACTTGCCAAGTCGGGTAGCTGGAGCCACATTGGATTACCTTTCTCAAAAGGTGTTTCAGCTAAAAGGTGAAATTGAGAATTTTGAAAGCAAAACCGATTTATGACTGTTTCTAATCCAAGCACTCTTTTTGTATCGATTCATTTATTTGCTGATGTATCTTATCATTCATGTCATATCAGCAAAAACGAATCGATTGTGAAATGCACCAGCGCCAAACACTTTATAAGTGATTCAATCCATTTCCAACCTTAAGTAAATGGGCAGGTTGGGTGGGTTCAATTACTCGGGTATATGCAATTGCCACCCCTACCTAAGAGTTAAATTGTAGTAGCACTAGGGGGTATTCGGTGATTGGTACAGTGGTATTGTGTTGCCACTTGCCACTAGAGATTCGATTCGATGTATATTATGTTTATATATATATATATGTATTTATTTATTTATAAATATTTTTATAAATTTGTTATACTATTTATTTTTTTATAAAAAACATGTATATATATGACAAAAATAATTAAAAAGTATTTATACTTTTTGTTTTTACTTTATTTAAATTAATATATTTTAATTTTTTTAATAATTCATTAATTTTTAAAGATAATAGGTTGGATCGGATCAGACCTGAAGATTTGACTTACCAATAAGATTCGAATTCAAATAGAATCATATCAGATTCAATTGGATCTTTGAATCGGATCAGATCCGACATGAAATAGTGTCAGATCGAATTTAAATATACCTTGTTTCGAATCCAATCCAATCCATTTGCATCCGTACAAATATATCTCTTTGTTTTATCACAAAAGTCATTTTTTACAAGATTGATTAATTTGGGATGCAAGTTAAACAGAATATATCCTGCTTTGAATCCGATCCAATCCATTTGCATCTATACATATATATCTCTTTATTTTATCACAAGTCATTAATTTTTTGCAAGATTGGTTAATTTGGGATGAAAGTGGAGCCAAGTTAGGCTGGGTTAAGGTCAATTCCGATTCATTACGAACTATTGAATTCCCAATAAGGGTGTCAATGGATCGGTTTTGGATTGAATCCATTGTAGTCCAAAATTAATTTGGGCGAATTGGATGGACCAACAGGACATATTGGATTGGACCAATCCGGTCCAAAATATTTATTAGATTGGATTGGACCTGATTCATCTGTAATAAATTTATATTGGATTGGATTGGATTAAGCCAATATCTGATCCATTGATATAAGATAAAAATATGTGTGTCAATGGACCGAGTTTAGGTTGAAACCAATCTAAATCAAAATGAACTTGAACAGATTGAATGGCCCAAACATTGAATTGGACCAATCAAAATTGGTCCAAAACATTCATTGGATTGGATTGGACCTGATCCATGGACTCACATTGGACTGGATCGGATTGGACCAAATCCAGTTCAATTGACACCCCTTATTTCCCAACCATAATCCTAATCCTTTGCTTAAAACCTAATTTTGTATGTAAATTTAAAATTGTTGAAGCACGTAAGATGTATATACGGCATTATCTTTGATGGTGAAATATAACAGCTACAGAGAGTTGATTGCGGGAGTACGTAGCTACAATGTCTATTATTAAGAGATAGGATTTCCCAGAAGCAAAAATCGTATACACACACCTGAGAGCTCATGGCATCATCAATCCTTTTCTTTTGGCTGTCATCATCAACCCTGGTGCTATGCCTATATATTTCACGCACACACGCCTGGTTCGAATACGTGACGCGGTGATTCCGATGATTACGCAGACGGCGCAATAGGTTTCCATAAACAATGGTTCATGCTGTGTTAATATCAGAAAACAAAACAAAAAATCTGTTAACCGCGTCGGTGCTATATTTTATTGTAAAAAAGCTATAGATAAACCCGCCCCAATACCATCGTCTAGAGAAAGATAATAGCATTTATTTGGGAAGGAAATAAAGAAAAGATAGATGGAGTAGTACTTGTTGTTAAGAGCTAGCAAGGGACCAGGTCAGGTCAGGCCAGGCGGCCCAGTCCCAGTCCCACAGGACGAGCAGCTTCTTAGCGGCCAGTGACGTTTAATTGTTATATTCCACCACGCACATGGTCTGTTGCATTACTTGTTTCGAAAGTTTGTTTGTTACTCGCTATTAAAGCGAGTATGCTTCTTCTCTCTTTCTTACTTTGTTTTTATATTATTTGGTATCAAGATTCATTCAGCAACAATGATTATGATCAACTTATATAGGGAAACTATTGTTGAAACAAGCAAACAAATAGATGAAGGAAGAAAGTATAATGATAAATGTATTTTTATTCTGCATTGATCATTGCCTTCTCTAATACGAGACGCATCGTACTACTGATCTCTGTTTTTGGCATGAGTGACCAACCCACTCTTTACAGAACAGTCGGAACTAATTACTTGTACAAGCTTCTTAGACCCGAAATTTCTAATAATTATTGGACGTATCGCATGTACAATGCATCAAGACACCACCTCGTGAGACTGATACTCTCTTTTAATTTGGGCCACCTGGTTTCATACTACCAAAAATTTAGGGGTGCTGGCACATATTTTTAACCGAACCGGAACCGGTCCCTTGGTTTTTTGAAAAGTGCCAAACTGAATTAGACGGTTAATCGGTCAACTGGTTAATTAATTGATCGATTCATTTAGCTGTCGACTTTACTTCTAGGTTAATCGAAATTGAACCAAAATTTTGGAAAATAAAATAAAAATCAAATCTATCGGTTTGTTATCCACAACTTTTGGTTCAATTTCTCGATTCGGGTCGATTTCTCAGTTTTTTGGTTTTCCATGAACGCCTAGAGAAAATTGCCATATTGTCTGTAGTGCGGAGCAGTGCGAGAGTTGCAAAATTCCTTGGTCTGTTAACAAGTAAGAAAGAGAGGGATAACTTGGTAAATATAAGATTACTTGTGTAGTAATTGGTAAAACTGCTAGTAAGTACACCAGACACTTAAGGGGGACTGCCGGATTGGCTTCAGCCTTCCGCTTGACTTGAGTTCCCTCCTTTTAGATCACTGACAGCTCATAGCCCAGCCCCACTTCTCCCGCGTACAAAAGCCACTACTGATGAAGAGATTGATTATTTGAGGCTTCTCACTCGCCTCTCAGTCCATGCATATTTCTCGGTCTCGGTCTCGGTCTCGGTCTCAGCAATCAGAGAGACACTGAGAGAGCATTTCGATATTTATTTCGTCTTTCTTTCTGCTGCATTGTTTTCCCCTCTCCCGCCTTTCTCTTCAATTCCTCTGAGCGCTGTAGGGGCTTTCTGCTTCATAGATCTATCTCTCCATATATTTGAACCCCCATTTTACCATCTTTTCCAGAATCAAAGGTCGAAAGCCCGTTTCCCTGAAATCTGATAGAGACAACTGGAGGACGTAAATGGGAGACAACAGGGTTCTCTGTTCTCTCCTGTTCTTCTTCTTCTTCTTCCTCGTTTCTTGCATTAATGCCGAAGACCCTTACAGATTCTTTACATGGAATGTCACCTATGGCGACATTTATCCTCTTGGAGTAAAACAACAGGTGCATCCTTCGTTTTCTTTAATTTTCTCTTGTTATTCTATTGACTATAGATTTGAATCTCTTCTTCTTCTTTATTTTTTTCAAGAATATCCTGGCTAATGTGGGTTAACGTTGCAGGGGATTTTGATCAACGGCCAGTTCCCAGGTCCTCTGATCGATAGCGTTTCGAATGATAACTTGATAATCAGTGTCTACAACAGCTTGGACGAGCCATTCCTCATCTCATGGTAACTAAACCGAATCTTTTTCTTGTTTTCCTCTTTCTTTCGTCTTCCTGTTTTGTAAATCTTTGCTTTCTTCTTCTTTTCTTGCTTGAGAGTTTCAATTTGCCATTGGAGAACAGTTTTCTAAAGATTCCATTTTGAATGGTCGAATTTCTAACGCGGGTTTTCTTTCGGGAAAAAAAAAATTGACAACGTGTATGACACCGGAAGAGAAGAAGAGGTGAAAGAATTTCTTGTGCAGTAGGGTTGTTTCGGTAATTGACACTCTGCACTGGGGATATTATTACAATTTGACGAAAAGGGAGGGATATGAGAGGATTACGATATTTTCTATTTATAAGGGTGGTACTATTTAGAGTTGGGTTGTTAAGCGAAAAGCAGCCAAACCCAAAACACGTTTTCGCTTTCTTTCACTGAGGATTTGGTATCTCGCGGTTTACTGTTTTAAAATGTTTAGTTTTCTCGCGGCATAACTTACGGCAATGTTAGGCTGCCAATTGCCCAATTCATCGTTTGTGGATCTGGGATCTGGAACCAGCTGGACTAATTTACTTTGTTAGCTAGATGGGCCCACCATCTTCTTAATGGAGATGGACGGGTCAACGCGTCTCGTTACCGATCATGTCATGTGCGAGTATAGATGAAAGACAGATGCATTTAAAATTATTGAAGTAGTAAAAGGAAAAGGATTCAGGTTTAATACAAGGCCACTGGGTTGAATCATTCAGCAGCTCTTGAATCTTGTTCAGAACCCACAATTAATTGCTGAAGTTGGCTGGTTAAACCTGTCACCCACCTTTAATGGTTGAATCATAAAAGCCTCTGCATTTGTTTGGCCTCACCATATGTATACAGCATGTGCAACTCCACCCACTTGCTAAACTGCTACGTCTTACAACGAGTTTATGCAGCTTTAGGTACTTCGCCCTACCGACATAATGTGATCGATGAAAAGACGCATGCCAGACAGAGCTGAAGTCTCTGAGCTGGAGATCTCTTCGTGCGTCACACTTGGGATTGGTCTGTAGGGGGGAGCAATCCAAGAGTTGCACAAACTCTGCTGTTTTTTCTTGATGAAGTTACCCATTGTTTTACTTTTCCTTTTGCGTGAACGGAATTCAAGAGTTATACTCTGATTGGATTGAACAGGAATGGCGTTCAGCAGAGGAGGAACTCGTGGCAGGATGGTGTGTATGGCACCAACTGTCCTATTCCCCCTGGCCAAAACTTCACTTATGTGCTTCAAGTCAAGGATCAAATCGGCAGCTTCTTCTACTTCCCGTCGCTTGCATTCCACAAGGCTGCGGGAGGATTTGGTGGCATCCGGATCAACAGCCGCCCGATGATACCCGTCCCTTTCCCTCCTCCTGCTGGGGACTACACGATACTGGCTGGCGATTGGTTCAAGCAAAATCATACAGTGAGTATAGATTGGGTGGTTGAATATAATATGCTGAGGTTGCCATTCATACTGTAGATGATCTCTGAATTCCAATATTAATCCGATGCTATTAGGAAGCTATTCTTTGTTTTGATAAAATTTTGAATTTGGGATAAGTATATCATCAAATAGCTTAGGGCCATCTATGAATGAACCAAGAGTAGTACGTGACTTCCACTGGCAGATGAATGAAAAAAAATGGTTAAGTAAATAGTAAATACATGTCAGGTTAGATTAAGTGCTGATACCCAGCACTTGAAATCCTAGACACTTCGGGTGTGCATTCACCCAGTGAGAACCAGATATAGAATTGCTTGGTTCTGTGTACGGCAGACCTGAATTCATTCATTCTCATGGCACAACCAAAAGAGGATGAGAACAAGGTATTGAATTAAAGTTGAAATTTTCATCTCGTTGGAGACTGAAGATTTAGCCATTCGGATATAATTGGGACTATCTGCTTATAGTGTTAATTTGTGAATGCTGAAACAAAGTAATGGCAAATAGTTCAAAAACAGGTCTGAAAATTATATGACTTTGATATGCCACCTTTTGATTCACAGGATTTGAAAGCAATCTTAGACAGTGGTCATGACCTTCCATTCCCTGATGGTCTTCTCATCAATGGCCGTGGTTTGAATGGTTACACGTTCACAGTTGATCAAGGTAAAAATACGCTGCTTCCTTTCCAAATCACACTTCTCAGTTTACAGGTTTGTGTGTTCATCTAATTATACCATTCACATAATCTTACTGTCTGTAAAACTTGTTGGGCAGGTAAAACCTACAGGTTCCGGATATCAAATGTGGGGCTCACAACATCCATCAATTTCAGAATTGCAGGACACAAGATGACTTTGGTAGAGGTTGAAGGGTCACACACACTGCAGAACACATATTCTTCTCTTGATATCCATCTTGGACAGTCCTACTCTGTCTTGGTTACTGCCGATCAGCCTCCACAAGATTACTACATTGTTGTTTCCACACGCTTCACAAGCCCTGTGCTCACAACCACAGCCATTCTCCATTACAGCAACTCCGCTGGACAAGTTTCAGGTCCTCCCCCTGGTGGTCCAACCATTGAGATTGACTGGTCTCTCAACCAGGCTAGATCTATACGGTATTTCCCTAATTTCACTAACAAATGAGATCTACCCTTATATTTATGTATTATCGCACTGGCAATTGTCTGTATTGTTTGAATGTTTTCATAACTTATTTTTCGGTGGAATGTCTTGTCACTTTTTAACTACTCCCCATTGTATATGTGGGAGATGTGGTCATGCAAATCAAAAACACAATGCGTGAGCCATTGAAAGACAAAGAGGACAACTGACTTGGTCTTATTTGCCTGGATTTGTTGTTATGATGAACTGTTTGGTTGAACTTTCCTATAATACCATAAGTTCTTATTTAGGGTTTTGTGCTTTCCCGAACCAGATGGAATCTGACAGCAAGTGGTCCAAGACCCAATCCTCAAGGCTCTTACCACTATGGGTTGATCAACACTACCCGTACAATCAGGCTTGCTAACAATGCTCCTGTCATCAATGGTAAGCAGAGATATGCTGTCAACAGTGTGTCCTTTATTCCTGCAGACACACCGTTGAAAATTGCTGATTATTACAAGATCCCTGGTGTCTTCACCCTTGGGAGCATTCCGGACAATCCAACTGGCGGTGGTGGTTACCTCCAGACCTCTGTCATGGCTGCTGATTTCCGGACTTTTGTTGAGATTGTGTTTGAGAATTGGGAAGACACTATACAATCATGGCACATTGATGGTTATTCCTTCTTTGTTGTGGGGTAAGACTGTCTACTGAAATCATTTCCAGTGTCAAGCTCCCTATTCTGCTTCTTCTTGATTTCTGACACAAGAATTTGTCGCATGAGCAGGATGGATGGAGGGCAATGGTCACCTGCAAGCAGAGACACTTACAACTTGAGAGATACAGTTGCTCGTTGCACTACACAGGTAGGAAACGGATATCTGGACTCCTTTGATGCATAGGAATGTGCATACATAAATACCTGCCTCTGTAACCACTCAGCATTGATTTTCTGCTAGTTCATCAAACATGCCATTCGTTAGAGTGTGTATATGGTAGAGTTAACAAATACTGGCAATTTGTAAATGCCAGATTTCTTTGGCAAAACATGGTACTCCACTGCTCATTCTATTGGTGATGGGATAGCCTAAACTGGATCACCTGGATGCATCTAACTGGCAGATGATTGAGCCAATTCGGGACTTATGTGCCATTTAGGAGGTGAACCTAGGAGATAGAATAGTATATGGGGAGCATCTGTCTCTCGGTCTAGTGAAATACCAAAAGCTTTGCAGCTTTCTTGGAGATCCTACACTAAGAGTGGCTAGAAAATATCTTACGATGTTAAATTTGATGGAGTGCAGGTCTATCCCAAGTCATGGACTGCAATTTACGTGGCATTGGACAATGTGGGGATGTGGAACATCAGATCTGAGAACTGGGCCAGACAGTACTTGGGTCAGCAGTTCTATCTTCGTGTTTACTCCCCTGCAAATTCATGGAGAGATGAATACCCTATTCCAAAGAACGCTCTTCTATGTGGTCGGGCATCTGGACGCAGGACTCGGCCTCTCTGATTCAGCCGATCCCAAAAACCTGTCACGAGAGGGTGACATGTTCTTGTATGTGCATTATTAGGAAATGAGTTCTATACAGGAAAATATTGACAGATCTCAGCTTGAGCATGAATATTTTATTTTATTTTATTTTCTTTCTTTTCGTTCATTATTCTTCTGGTATTTCTGGTTTTCGGTGTCTAGATAGTAAACATTAATATTTTAATGGTGTGATAAATGCAATGCAATTCAAGAAAGAATTTCAAGTTTCCGCTGCCTCAAGCAATATGGACTGTTTTTTGCCAGTGGTGGTTTCTTCGAGGTATATTCCTCGAGACAACATGAAAATAGTGAAAACTGTTCTTTGTTGTCTGTTTTCATTTTTCAGAAGCAGGTTCCACACGTAATATATCAACGATTGGCTATGGCCAATTCTAATGGAAAGTTTTAGTTAATTCAAAACAAAAAAAGCAAACTAGTAAAAAACATCCCCCAACCCAATGTGATAAACATCAACTAAGTCTGTGTTTGGTATGCTTATTGAATAAACGTTTGTATTTTATTTGCTGGTAAAACCGAGAAATGCAATAATTACAAGTGTTTATGACAATTAACTGCCATTAGGCGCCACCCGTAACAATGAAAAAACGCCTGACCGTTTGTGAAAGTTTTAAAAAATAATTTCCACAAATGGCTGGCATGCACATAAACTAAAGTTGACCTTTTCATTAAAAACGCCTGGCCGTTTATGAAAGTTTTAAAAAATAACTTCCACAAATGACTGGCATGCACGTAAACTAAAGTTGACCTTTTTATTTTCAATGCATGCAAAAGAGCAAGAGAGAAAGTGTTGAAGTGGTGCCTATTTGGCACCCTCAATAAACTAGTTATAGACAATGATTAATACCAAAAAATAAATAAATAAACTAGTTATTGCTTATTCTAGATTTTGGAAACATATTCTGAAATCAGTCTATTATCAGCAAAGCAAATAAAAAAAATTCTAAACTTGGAATAAAAGATGAATCAAGATCCCAACTAGTCACATTAAAGATGTATCTTACAAAGTGTGCTTACCAGTTAAGATGTATATCTTACAAAGTGTGCTTACCATCAAGACCTTAACAACAATGCTAAAGATGTCAAATGTGATGTGCCTTTTTATGACTGGTGGACATTTTTTTGCTTCATGGTGCGGCTCATGCGCTATAAATTTTGCAATGATATAATGACTATAAATGATTAATGGTTTTCTGCACCTTTGGTGGAAATTCAATGTGGACAACAAACCTCAGACAAAACAATTACAGTCACAAAGGAAAACATATTGCTCATTTCAGTCTGCTCTTTCTATTGTTATCGCATGAATGATGAAGATACAGACTTACTGGATTGGATTTGCATGTGGTAATTATTAATTATATCAGAAATTCAATCCTAAACTCAATAGTGATACTCATCTCAAAACTTTGACAATAAATCAATCAACCCTTCTGGAAACACAGCTTTAATTCTCTCAGCAGGGATCAACAGTAAATCACACGGCCTCTAATTAGGTGGAAGTCTGATAATGTCCCAATTATTTAATGATGTTCTGTTTGAAAAATTGAAGCTTTTCTTTTAGAGCAATGGAGACTGATTTCCTTCCTCCTCCCTGAAATACTTTTTTCTTAGGCCCCAAACTTATTCCACTCTCAACTGCTACTTGTTCTGATATTAATAATTTCTTAATGCAGACAGCGGTAGCAGCAAAGTGGAACAATATGATCCATGGCAGCCCAATCTCAAATTGTTTCTTATGTTGCCCTCAAGGCTATCCCCGACATGATGGTGCTTAGGGGTGTCAATAGACTGGTTTTGGGTTAGACCCGTCCAAATAATAATCAATTTAGACGGATTGGACAGACTAAAGTAGATTTATTTCCTCTTCATTTATAGGCAGTTACAGAAATGTGCCCCATAAAACCCACCTCCCCAAATAGATTTGTTTATATAGCTTCATTGCAAAGATGAGCAACATTCTACTTTTTTTTTTTCTTTCTTTTGGTTACTTAACATTCTACCATACCTTGTAGTCGTAGAAAATTTTCTACCAGTTAATTAGAATGTACAAAGAATCCGCATTGTGACATGAGGAAAATCCAGAATAGAGGAATGAGGAATCTACTACTGGTAGGTGGAATTAATCGTTATCATTAGCAAAGACTAGGTGCAATTTAAGTTTGGAACCATCAATTATGGAGGTGTTTCCTATCTACCATGTGAGTTGGACCTACTTTTCCAAATACACTATTCTCAATCAACATCTAACTGTTACCATTCTTCCCACTTCACAGGCTGGAAGAAGATCGACCTAAAACTTCACATGGAGAAAGAGAAGTTGATATTGCATTTGGCAAAGCTAGCTCGATCCAGCCTAAGGCCTACCCCACTTAGGCTGCATTTTGCCATTCCTTGTTTTAAGAATTTATCTCCCTTTTGCAGATAAGAACTCTGAATTCATATGAGTATTTTAGCAGTAAAAAGGAGATAGTCCTTAAAATAAGGAATGCCAAATGCAGCCTTAATCAAGCCCCAAGAACCAGCTCATTGTAGAGAGGATTAGGACTTGGGAGTGGGCAAAATGTAAATCCGACATTGAAATTGGCCCAGCCCAAGATGTCCACGACTGTGATACCAGAAAAACTTGGAACCAATCAACGTTTAATTGGTCCAACCCCTTTTCATATCATGTCTGTCCGACAGCATAGATTCTTCCTATAAAAAATTATGAATACAAACATAAATTATAGGGTAAAATACAAAAACCTCCCCTGAAGTGGTTGATAATCATAAAGATCTCCCTTATAGTTTCACTTTAGCAAAAACCTCTCCTCTATTTTTGAAAATTTCAGCAAATACCTCCCTTCTATCAATGATCAAGATGCACATTAATTGTGGAGTGCACTGCCCTTCCGCTGCTCTGCGTCGTGAGGAAGAAGATGAACATTGTTTGAGCGGATTATGAAGTTGCTGAGATAGGGCTATTTTAGTAAAAACAAATGCACATTAATTCGTAAAAGGGTAAAATAGGTATTTTGAAAAAATAATCATCTCTTTAATGTTTTTCCATCTTGGTCATTGACAGAAAGGAGGTATTTGTTGAATTTTTTAAAAATAGAGGGGAGGTTTTTGCTAAAGTGAAATTATAGGGGAGGTTTTTTATGATCATTAGAAACTTCAGGGAGGTTTTTATATTTTACCCTAAATTATAATACACATTATTTTTATACATAATTCACCTCATCTCTTGTGTTTTTTTTTTTTTTTTTTTTGTGTTGTATTTGCATCTCTCGCGTGATTTAGTTTTCAACAAGACTACAAAAGAGTTTGAGAGGAAAAAAAGGTCCAAATTTTGACCCAAATTAGCGTTGTGAATAACACATAGAACCAATGTTTTTGAACCGTCGTTGATCCAGACAGTTGGACCATTCAGTCCGGGAATTGTCTAGATAACTGGTTTTGTTTTACTCTCAAGGCCCCAAAACCTCTCCCTAGCCAAAAAAAGTTGAATTGGTCAATAACTCATTGATTTGAATGATCGAACCATTGACCCATTTGACCCATTCAACAGTTTTAGCCATTTTTTTATTTTAAATATTTTTTATTTTTTTTCAGAACAGATCCTCCATTCAAACCGGATGATTGAACCATCAACCCAGAAACTGATGCCGAAAACGATTCCGGTTCTGAGTCTGTTTTTAAAACACTGCATATTTTGCATAGAACTCTCTGCATTCACACTTGCCATTTTGTGGTTCGGAGTTCGAAACAATCTACCAAGGGAACGACACAAACATCCATTTATCCAAAATCCAATCAATCGAATAAAGGGTCATCCGAATTTGATCCATTATAACATAAAAGTGGTGAAACCCTATCCAATCCGATTTATATTTAAATATATTTGCTTTTATTTATATAAAAATTATACTACTATTATTTTTGGTAATAAAAGAAAAATGCAGAAGGCATTTTCAGTTATTTTTAATTTATTTTTTGATAGTAGATAATGTTTTGATCTTTTTAACTTTGTTATTTAATATCCGATATCTATCCATATTCAATTCGATTTTTTTTTGAAACAAATTCAATTCGATTTAGATCCGATCGATGAGTTAACAATTTTATTTATACTTAGATATATCCGATTCGGTCCGATCCATTTGGAGCCCTGCCCAACCCCCTAGATTCGGGGTCTGGTGCATGGTTTCCGGCGGAAATAGACCGGCCGGTGGGTGGCGATAATACCGGGAAGTCCATTGAACAAATTAGATTTTTGTCATTTTGTGGGCATCACGCTAAAAATCGTCGATGAAAAGTTGAAAACCATAACATATTAACATCAGTTCCGGTTAGACAAAATATTTCTTAATTTAATAAGAAATTAAAAACTCCGGATCTCTCTCTCTCTCTCTTCCTGCGTCCTTCCTATGTACCGCGCCTCATTTTCGTCGCTCATTTAGGTTCTCTCAATCTCAATCTCATTCCACGCAGCCACAGGCTACTGCTTATTTACCAAATGGAGTCATCCTCCTCCTCCCTCGTCTCCAAAGCTAAAACGGCCTTCCATTCTGCGGCAGCAAAAGCGGAGAAAGTACTGACTGACATCAAAGCGGATATAAAGAACGATCGAGGTTTATCTCTCTTACTTTCTCCATTATTTACGGTTGAAATCTCTGTTTCTATGCGATCTATTCAATTATTTATTTTTTTCTTCTATTTACTATTCTATACAACTAATTCGGTCGAAGAAGAAGCCGAAGGACAATTCCAGAAGACTTCAAAGAAACTCCCTGAACACAACCCAGTATCTGGAAAAAGCGAAGGAGAGGTAAGATTGAATCCTTTTCCTTTATTTCTTTTAAATTGCATTTAACGTCGTGTTAATTTCGTTTTTGAGTTCGATTTTACTGCCATTCATTTTCTTTTGTTCTTCTCTAATGGAAATGTAGGTCCAAGTTTTTTTATTCTAATCAATTTTTGAAGATACTTATTTTTCCGTGAATTTGGATGTGTATCATGTAAACCTTTTGTTTAGGAAATGTTAATAACAGTTGGGAATATGATTCACATTACTTATTCGCTCACGAAATGACGAAACGTTTATAAATTTTAATTAGCTTATTGCTATTGCCAATTCGCCATGAAGTAGGAATATAGGATTATTTTAAAGTCTATTCAGATTAATGTTTATGTGCAAATATACAGAAGCACAATGGATTCAAGCATTCAAAATGGAAGCCTGCACCTCAAAGGAAAAAGCAAGAATGGCATGATTGGCAAGAGCGGTTGAAGAAAATAAGAAAAGGAAAAACAGGAGAAGGAGATGAGCAGAAATTTGAAACCTTGAGTTTGGCCTTTCCTGCCGTTGATGAATATTTGGATCAGATGGGCGCCAAAGATGTTTCTGAATTAAAGGTGATGGATTCTCCGCATTTATCTAGAAATTTATTTCAAGTATATGTTTGACTCTTCTTTTTGATGTGTATGCATCTACTTTTATAGTTTCACTCAATATGAGACATATGACAATTATCATTTAAAATATTATGCACCTAGAACTCTTGACACTTTTTAACGTGGTTTTTTGGAGATAGTAAACTCTACCAAGTAATACACTCATTTCTACTGACAGCTATCTAGCTCGTAACTGTCCCAGATGATCCCTTTTGGATTGTTATTGTAACTACCTTCTCCTAGATTTAGTTAACTAGCACTGTATATTCTTTGCCTCATGCTATTGTTGCACTTTGAACTACTACACAAGATTCAGCAAATAATTCCTAATCCTGAATGGGTAGACAAAAGAATGTGGACATTGGACAGGTATGGGCTATTCTCAGTTAAATCAATTTTCAACAGTTTGAACTCTTAAAGATCAGACATGTTTCCTAGCTCAAGAATTTGGGTCCCCTCAGTCCCATCAAAGGTGGCATTCCTGCCATGTTCTACTGTATTGGGTAAATGTGTTATGGCCCATAACATTTCTAGAAGGGGTGTGTTGTTTGAAAGCAGTATTTTGTGTGCTATGCACATAGAGTACAGAAACATCTAACCACCTTGTTATGCACTGCAAATTCTCATATAAGCTGTGGACATCGGCCCTATCATGCTTTGGAATGCATGGCTGTTTACCAGAACCAGTGGAATCTCTATTCCATAGATGGTACTTGAGTGGTTTGAGCAAAAGGTGTGAACTAGAATGTGGTATGAGTCCAGTTGCAATCTTGTGGACTTTATGACCTGGTGGAAGGAATGCATGTATATTTTGAAAACAAAGCTAGTCAGTGGGAGGTAGTGCTGAGGAGACTGGATGGTACCATATTGTTCTTCTTTTAAATACTGATACTCTTTTTTGTAAACAGCAATGGTGTTTAAGATATACATTTGTATGTTCCCAGTTTACAGTTCTTTGTGTACATGACTAATGTATTTAGATAGATTTATTCAATACGTCTCTTAAAAAAAAAGAAAAAGAAACATTACTTTTTCAAAAAACAAAAAATTGTGCTCCTTGCTCAAGTACATAAGATGATTTTGCCAACATTTATGGAGATTACAGAATTCCTTTTTCTACAAATTTCCTTCATCTTTGAGTATCAACATAGTATTAGTACTCTTACAGGTTTTAGAAGGTAGTGGCATTGTGGAGGAAAATTCAAATGCTTCTGGCAGACCTAACATTCCTCCATCATCTATCCTCAAGCAATTGGCAACAGTTGTTGAGTAAGTTCATCTTCTTAACCTGACAAGCAATGTCTTGGATACTTAAAACCTATCATAGAAAAAAATGATAGTCTTATATCTTGAAATGCTTTCAAATTCTTTTAATTTCTGGTTTTTCTCCTGAGCTTAAATTGTTGGTTATGACAGGCTGGTATCTGATGTTGAAATTTCCAATGCCTTTTCACGCACATGAAACCCATTGTTTTGAATTGTTGCAAAGTCTTAAATTGGTCTCTGAATTCACTGGACTGATATAACAAGATTTGTGTAGCTGAACACACAAAAAAAGGAAACAATAGTAATGTGGATGATGCACAACATTCTTTTCATTGGCTTTTTTAGGTTTACTTCATATCATAACTTGTTAACTGTGTTCAGCATCAGGGGCAGAAATTACATTGGTTTAGCAATGTAAATGTGTATTGGCCTGTGAATTGTAGCTCTCATCTATAGGAGCAGAATTGATGGTGGTGTAGCAGCATAAATTGCACTGTTCACCTTTTTTTATCATCTTACTTAATGTATTACATGCTCCTGGTTCTGGTCTTGTTTAAATTATGCTACAACTTTATCATCTAAATTATGCAAATTATCCTCCTCTTTCCACTTCTTGTGGAAATTTAGACATCAAAGAACTGCCATTAATTTATTTGTAGAACTTCCAAATTATATCTGTTTCACAGCAGGTTACTTCACATGGTACTTCAGTTCTTCTCAGTTAATAGTTTATATCCTTCAGATCCATTTTTTAAAAGCCTCATGCACAATAATTTTCTGCTTCGTCTCAGTAGTCAGTAATCATTATGGAGTCTTCTGTCTTTAGTGGTAAGCTTCAACTGAATTAACTCTTCCAGTGTTAATTTAGAAGGGACTAATTACAGGTTTAAGCACATCACTAATATCATCATCTAGAATCTGTAATCATTTGCAATAGAAAGTATGAGTATATATAAACCACTCTTGACATTATTAAGTAAAGTGCATAGAAAAATAGCATATCTGTTGGCTCTCTTAATTTCTCAAGCTTCAGAATTTGGGAGTTAGTTTTGAATTGCATATATTGGGGGTACTTAACCTTGTAAGTAGATAATGTAGCCAAGTGGTTAGATTTGTCTTTCTATATTGGATAGCTAGCTACACCCCAACTCATGTAATAGATTTTAGATTTTGTTTCTAAATTTAGTAAGTTTATTCTGATACCAGTTGTAAGTCTAGTATCTATAACAAGGACTTACGCCTATGGTACCTGTTAGTAAGGTGGTTAGGCTACGTACGGGGGTCTTCTTGAAGGACAAAGGAAAGTCAAGAGCAGGAAGTAGGCTAAAGGCTAGGGCGAATGAAGTGGTAGAATGATCCCCTCATTATGATTCAGGCCCCCATTTATAGGGAGAGATCCTGAGGTCCCAAAAGGAAGGAGCCAAAAGTATTTGATGCCCATTAGGAAAGGGAATCTTGGATTTGGTGTCAGTTGTTAGGGAACACTACTAGGGTTTCGCCATGTGTCTTACGAGATATCTTAAGGACGAACTTTCCTTTCATCTAAGGATTCTCATAATACACGTGTGCTACTTTCTTTCGTGACCCTTTTAACGTCGCACGTGTTTCTATTATTTGTTTTTGATTTGCGGTGAGTCTGCTCTCATCGCGGTTTTGCAATGGCTTTAAACTCACCGCAAGTCTGCACGGGTCCAAAGCTCATCGCGGTTCTGTGATAGCTTTAAACTCATCGCAAGTCCGCACGGGTCCAAAGCTCGTCACAACCTGTTTCGGGTGTGAGTTCATCGCAAATGTGTGATGAGTTATGAACTTATCACAGGTGTGCGATGAGTTATGGACTCATCGCAAGCATTCGCATAGTATTAGTTTGACACCTCCTATGTTCCGATGGTCTAAGTGACCACCATGTACCTACAGTACCATTACAAAACATAATTCTAATCTCCTTTATTAAGGGGAGGAAGAAAACAAATGAATATTCCCTTTAAGTCATAAGTTTTTTTTTTTCTTTTTTCCCCCTTTCCTCCTGCAGCTTCATGGGTTCTTGTCAAGTTGAACTTTTTTACAAGTCTGTGGGTTACAAATTTTCTTTTGCTTTTCTTCTTTCTTTACAGGGTTGGGAAAAACTATAAGTCAATGAAAGATCTTCTCGTATCATCCAGAGATTCTTCACCTGTAAGAGAGAGGACAGGCTTAAGTTTCTCTGCAGTGAAGTCATTAGTGCTTCGTGAAAAGGAGGAGAAATCAAACTCTGAATTTGGAAAGGATGATGATATCCCCTCGTTAGTCCATTCATTATTTGATGCAGGTATGCTTTTTAATGATTTGATGAAAACTATCCTTTTCTAGGTTGAATTTCTCATCTTTAGCTTCTGCATTATCCCTTGATGATTTTTTGCTTCCATTGTAATATTTGCAAGATATTCGCAGAGGAACATTCCCACAGAAGGAAGAATGCAGCTCTGGTTCAGCAACATTTACAATGGCATCTTTGCCAAGAGATGTTCATGCTGCTCCTCCTGAAAGTTTTGTTGTTAGGCTTTCTGAAGTCATGGGGAGCTTCAAGACCCTGCGGAAGATGGCATTTTTTTGGTGCAAGGTGGTGGATGAAGTAAGTTCATGTTTTTGAATTTATCTGAACTACAAGAAAGGCAATATTCTCATTGCATTTTCTAAATCATATGACAATTATTCTTTACCTCTTATTGAACGCTTCTATTCTTACCCTGAAAATTGACATGGGTACTTGTTCTATATGTCTTTGCATATCAACAAACTTGATGCCATGGCTTTTTCCCTTCTCTTCTTTTCTTTTATTATTATTATTTTTTTTACGAGTACCATTGCTTTTTCAATGAACATGTTTGCATATGCTGCTGTAAGAGCGCACAAATTGATATAGTTTTTCTTCTCATGGGAGACGATTTTTGCATGACTTTTTCAAATTTCTTTTTATGCCTGTCATTTGAGCATTTTATTATTGCCCATTTTTGCACAAATTGAACCAAAACACATAGAGAACAAATATCTTTCCTGGAAATAAGGAATGTCTTTGCTAGATATAATCATACAGGATGATGAAAACTTCTTTCCTTGAATAAAAAAATCTCAACCTGTCAGACAGTCAGAGAAATCTTTTAAGGTATGGTAGAGACATGGGCATCTCTTTTGATCTTTACTTCTGGTACTAAATAGTTCATGATGTTGATATGCATTTGGGTCTCTTTTAGGCTTCTCCTACTCACAATGCAATCAAGAGAAGTCTCATGCTGATTAGGTTATGTATGTATGTGTTAGAGAATATCAACCTATTCAAGGACCTCACCTAACAGCTTAAGCTTTTAGGTTGAATGGTTCTTTGAGATGGTATCAGAGCCATTTTGACCAAGTGGTCTAGTGTTTGATCCTCGTTACCCCCATTATAATTAAATAAATTTCAGCACAAGGTATGGGTGGGCCTGTGCTTGTTCACGCTTCAAGCCCAATGGGCTTTTGTGTGAGGGGGCATGTTAGAGAATGTCAACCTATTCAAGGACCTCAGCTAACAGCTTAAGCTTTTAGGTTGAATGGTTCCTTGAGAGTATGTATGTATGCATGTTGATTAGAAATGGTAAGTTTCATTATCTAAAGGATTTCAAAGTACAACTGTCAAAACCACCCTAGGCTGATTGGGTTGAATATCTAACATGGAGTCCATTGAGTCTATGTTCACAACAAAGTTCAATGTTTCCTTGAGGCCTCTCAAACTTGGGCTATAAACTAGGATCAATTTCCGGCCATTATCATTAAAAGCCGAAGGCTTCTTTTTCTGGTTAAAATAATTTTCTCACAGTTTGAAAATTTCAGATCAATATACATGTTGAGATATAACAATTGTTTTTTATAAGCAATTATTTCAATCTTGGTAGGAGTTCATAGTCACTTAATGTTCTTTTCCCTGACTAGTAACAAGATCAGAAAAGCTTTATTAATAAAAGCTGATAAAAAATAAAATCAATCAAACCAAACTTTTCAGCAAAAGGATAACTACAGTATTGCAAAATGTAATATTAAAAATAGAGCAGCAGAAACCTTTTTCAGGCTTAGATGCACCTCTATAGAATGGGGCTCACCCTACACTTCTTGCTAGATATCTGTTAGAGAGTTTGCTGATCTCTGTAGCCTTTTTTTTATTCATAACAATCAAAACTTGTATTAATTATTTCAGAATACAAGCATATTGCAATGATAAGAAGGGCAGATAGCCTCAGACAACCACCTTTGGAACCCTTTAATTAAAAATTCCTGTCAGACATAGCCCCAAAACATTTGTTCTCTTGTTGCTCCTTGTTTTGCTAGACCCTCTGCTATACAGTTAGCAGGCCTGTACACGCAAGATGCCTTGGCTTCAAGCTCCTGCATTAGAGATTTAGTTTCATGTAATAGATGTCTATACTTCCACTGTCCCTCATTCTGTTTGCATACAGTCTACTACAACCCTCAAATCCCCTTCTATAATTAAGTTCTTGTAGTTCAGTTGTTTTGCTTTTTTGGAGTCCATACAGCACTGCTTGCTATTCAGCCCTTGTTGAGTCCCCATGTAGTTGGGCCTGAGAACATGTCTAGAAAGTCTAGGGTTGTCTATGCTGCACCCATCAAAATTTAATTTGAGGTGTGAGGGAAATGGTGCTTTTTACTTGGCTCTTACTTTTGGACTGCTTGATGAGGATTCTGACACTAATTTCCAATTTCTTGTAATATCATACATTGTGAATAGAGCAAAAATGTCCAAGCTCCAAGGTCATCACCCAATGTGCCACCTTCACTGTTGTATTATCTACCACTTCTACCCTTCTTATCGTATCTTTGAAAAGTCTAGCATTCCTTTCTTCCCAAACACATCATAAAACTGCAGCTCTGACACATCTCCATAGAAATTTTCCTCTTCTTTTTGTAGGGAAAAAGAAGGAAGTCTCTAACAGGTTTTACAAGTCATTTGGTTACCTCCACCTGCACCTGAATAAAGAAAATAAGTGCTTCCAAATCATAGTCACAATATTACAAGAGATTAGCAGGTAGGAAGAATCTTCACCATTTGCTTTGCACAAGAGGCAGATATGAGGAGAGAGAGTCCAGTTAGGTCTTCTCCATTGGATAGTCTCACAGGTGTTGACTTTGTTGCAGTAGTTCTCCCAACAGAAAGCTCTAATTTTCATTCTTCAGTGACACTGGACCCTTCCAAATGGCTTTAATGGTTTAGGAAGGGGAGAATTAGGGTTCAAAAAGAGAGACTCTCAAAAAAAGAAGAGCAAGAAAGGAACCAGAGGATGTGAGAGTCCAAATTCTTGAATCCTGTTTGCAAGAGTCTAGGAAAACCCCTTTGAGATTTTTTTTTTTTGTTTTTTGTTTTGATCAGCAAAATGAGAATTTCATTCACTTGATAGGATTAAAACAGAATTACAGCAGAAAGAAACAGACAATGCATCAGAAAAAGTTATAATAAAGCCCAAAAATGCTGTTGCCTTTGAACTCCCTGTTTAGCTAGAGAGTCAGCCATTCCATTTGCAGTTCTCCTGATCCACGTGAACGAGGCATTAAGTTCCCTTGCTATGATTACTATCTCCCTTATCTGTAGATCCAAGGGACACTGCTGCTAGAATTGGTCCAAGATATCACTGTTTTTGAGTTCCCTTCTATTTCCAAAATCTTAAAATCTGCTTGCTTGGCAATCTTCAACCCTTGTAGCAGAGCTAATAGTTCAGATTTTAAGGAATCACCTTCCCCTAAGGGTCCTAAGTACATAGCCAACACTTTGCTTGAGGAATCTATGATTATTCCACCAATACTTGCCATACTCGGGTTTCCTATAGAGCTCCCATCGAAGTTTAACTTAATCTTGTTGGGACTTGGCGACTTCCACTCCATACCTTTCTTTCTTTCTTCTTAGCAGTGTGTGCCACTTCATTCCAAGCTCTTACTATATCAGTAGTTGAGAGATTTTGAAAGAGCTGGAGTGATTTTACCCAATGTGCAACTTTTATCTTCATGGCCTCCAGAATATCTTCTTTTGACCTATGCTTCTTGTTGAAAATTCTTGCATTCATTTCCTCCCATATTGTCCACTCCATCGCTGCCCTTACTGATTTCCACATAACCCTTCCTCTTTTTGTTGGCTGCCTTAGAAAATTTGGATCGAAGAGGCTTACTACATCCTGTGGAGCATTCCACCTGCAATCAAAAAGAGAATCAAAAGATTCCCAAACAAAAAGTACAAAAGGGCAAAGAATCAATAAATGGGTAGGGATTCACCATCTGTAGAGCAAAGGATGCACATATCAGGGGAGAGGCATTTATTTGGCTTCCTTTTTTGAAGCATGTCACAAGTGTTCACCTTCCCAAGAAACACCTTCCAACACAACTTGAATTTTTGGTGGGATGGGCTTGCTCCAAATCTTTTTCACAGGGAAATTCTTTATTTATTTTTTTGATTAGTAAAAATCTTTCATTAATAACAGAGAGATTAAGATACTTTTTTTTTTGTTTGATCAGAAACGATAACTTTCATTAGAGATAAATTAACCTGAAATACAGAATTCAACCCTTATTAGAAAAGGTTGATCCAATAAACATCAAACATTACAGCACTGCCCAAAAAAGACTCTCCCTTGCAGTCCCTTGTTTTGCTAGGGCGTTAGCAAAACCATTTGCTGATCTCCTTACCCACTTGAACCAA